CATTTTTTTACAGGAACTAAAAAAAAACACTTTTAAAATCGAATATCTGATGGGTTTTCATGAAAATCAGATGTGTAGTTATAAAAAAATTATTTCGAAAATACAATTTCAGAATAAAAATTATATTTTTAATATTGTGTAACTTATGTCGCTTACAATAAAATAAATGTTCGAATATAGCTCAATGATGCTTACACTTTTCACTTTCGGCGCTTACATCAAATATTTTGTCGAGTTGATTAGTGCATGGCGCTTACACTAGTCTTACACTACTCCATGCAACAAAGGCGCATACGTATTTTTTTCGAAATTAATGTGACTTACGTTCAATTTTGAAGTTATTTAAACGACATGTCGCTTTCGCCCAATCTTTAAATGGCAAAATGACATGCTTAGGTTTATATTGTCGCTTAGCCATTTTACAGATCGATGCGTCAGAATTTTAGAAAAATTTTGATACCAATATCTCATTTTCGCTCAAAATTTTCCTCAGCATGGCATATTTATTTGAGGATAGCCGCCACTGGTACAGTATTATATTATTGTTTTGATTCTTTATTATTATTTTCAAATGGTAAGTGGTAACTATACGTACCCATATTACCTATGTAATATTTATAAACTGTAATAATTTATTAATTTTAAAATGATAACTCATTTTTACATAATTGTTTAATGTTCATTAAAAATTAACCTTTTTTATTGCATTATTTTTAAATTGTAAATATAATTCTCAATTAATTTGTAGTTTTTAGTTATTAAAATAATAACAATAAACATTAGATGCAGGGCTTGAAACAGATATTTGATACCGATTTTGAATACCGGTTAAAACCGTTAAAAACCGAAATGGATACCAAAACCGAAAACAAAATCGTAAAAAATCAATACCGGTAATCAAAATCGAAATCTTAAACAAAAAATATAAAAACCAGTATTCAAAACCAAATCGAATCAGAAAAATAAATAAGCACCAATTTACGAAACCGAAATCAAAATCGGAAAAAATAAATACCGATAGCTGAAACCGAAAAAAATACGTACATTATCCTGGCCCCCCTCATTGAACTTTTTACAAAAAAAACTAAGTCTCGAATTAGCACGCCATTAGCATGCATTTGCACGACTATTTTTAGAATTTGCACGACATTTTTTTACGAGTTATTTATAAAAAACTATGGGGGGGCTGGCGTAACGTTACCCCAGCCCCCACAAGTGAAATAATCACTTTTTACAAATTTTTTTTTTACCAAATATTATCACGCCATTAGCATGCATTTGCACGACTGTCGCTGAACCCGAAACTTTACACTTTTCCCGGGAAAACCAGTTTTCCACTTTCGCGCATTACCCCAGCCCCCCACAAAAAGGAAATAATCACTTTTTACAAATTTTTTTTTACCAAACATTATCACGCCATAAGCATGCATTTGCACGACTGCCGCAGAACGCGAAACCTTACGATTTTAAACTTTTACGCTTTACCCCTGCCTACTTTAACTTTCCCCCCTCGAATATGAAATAAACCTTTTTCACCGTTTTTTTTTTTTTTTACTACATACGGTATTTGTTATAGGACTATTTCTAATATTGTCTCTTCAAAAACTCATAAGTAAAATGGACGCATAGGAATCTTGTAAAGTACTTGAGTTAACTGTACAAGTATTCAACTACCTACTCTTTAAGTAACCAATAGTACGTATTTTTAATACTTTTGAAAAAAGTACTTGAACAAAGTATGTACCTACTGTTGTATAATTTGACTACGAATTGGTGTTAGACATAGACATTCATTGTCATTTTAAATTTTAAATGAGTGATTTTTAGTTTTCACCAATATCATTCTTCGAGGTAAGTATTTTTTACACATAATATATTAATATCATAATCAATACTTATATTTGATTTAATTTACATTAACATTGAACACGATTAGCATGCGTATTTTAAATTGTAAATTACACTCAAATTCTAACCTTTTATATTGAACTTATAGGTATTATAATTTTATCATATCAAATAGGTATCATGTTAATTTAAAAAAAAAAAAAAATGTGTCACGGGACACGCGTATAGGACGAATTCTTTTTCGTATGCAGGTTTGGCGTAATTAATCATTAACGTCAGACTCTCATTCTCTCTACCCACCGCTCTCTTTAATTTTGATTATTGATGAAATAAATAACTATATTCATAAATTTATTGGCAATATATTATGTATATTTATTTATTTGTTTTTGAAAGATTGTTTTTAATAAATTTTGTATTTTTATTTTCTTTGATTTCTTACAATATTACTCATAGGTTAGGTACTTTGGTAGAAACGGTTATGAATATAACAATGAAACGCAATTACGTAATTAATGGTTTATCATATTTTAGAAGTATATCAATATTATAATTATTACTGAAGTAAAGGTAAGGTAACTGAAGTAAGATATGTGAGTTTGTGATTTGATATTTTGCAAATATCTAGAAAAATCAGTGTCATTAGTAGTATTATGTCGTGTTGTAGATTCTGATGGATCATTGTTAATATTATGCAAACCAATTTTTTCATAGAGAAATTGTTTTAATATGAAAATCTCCTATCATAATTAGCTTAACTTATCATAATTCTTACGTTAAATGTTTGTCTCCGATGGTTTAATAAACATATATCAATAATTACATTGTATTGAAGTTATGATTATAATATAGTATATGTAAGTACATGTATTTTATATTAAAACGTTTTAAGTAGTTTTTTGTTGTTTAATATTTATATCGAGTAATAATAATAATTTACTGCATTATATCATATTATCATAATACCAACATAAATAATAAAATAAACGGGCCCGAAATCCAGTCGCGATGCTGCAGGTCGATTAATAATAATATGATGGTTTGCTAGCTGGCTACTAATAAACGATGTTTGTTTTAAATTAACGGCGACGGCCTAGGACGAAATTCGGAATCAGCTCACTTGCAATTTAATATTCTGACTATACCTACACGCGTACAATTTACCTGTGAAAATGGCTGAATTGCATACTACCAAAACCCAAAAAATCGAGAAACCCGTAGAGGACGTCATGAGGAACATCGAGTATGACATTATGGAAGCAGAACTCAGCGTATTCGACAACTACCGAGAAGAGCCTACGGTTTCGGATTTGGCGGTCCTGTTGTACTATGCGACCCAGTTCGCGGCCGGCGACTCGTCGGAAACCATTCAACCGGCCGATGATTCCAGTCTGACTGGACCGGTTGAACGGATCGGAGACGACGTGGACGTCGTGCCAGCTGTGCAGGCGCCTGTGGAAGGGCCCGGTGACGAGGCGGAGGAGTTCGTCACACCGGCCAGGGGAGCTGAGGTCAGGAACAGCATCGGAGACTTGATCGGCTGGCTGGACCCGGGGGCAACGCTAGCAAAACGCGCAGGTCCGCCCAGACGGACGGCGGCGAGGATCGCGTCCGCTGCGTGGACAGGCATCACCCAGGCCGCACGCGTTTTCTGCTGTTGTTCCCCGAAGTGAAACCGTCCGAGAGTTCCCCCCTGGCCGAGGGCAGCGGACAAGGCGAGGCGATGAAGCGGGGTCGAGGTTTAGGTACGTGACAGTGCACTTTTGGGGTGACCGGCGGTAAGTCGCCGATACACGTTCTCCGCGGCCTGCACCGGCGGTAGCGAGACGGGATCGCGGACGTCGCGCGCTCGAGGTCGCCGACACGCGAGACCCTCTGGCGGCGCGGCTGGCGCCCGGCTGCTTCGGTCCGAAAGCGACGACGACAGGACGACGGACGGCTAGCGGTACCGGCTCGGACATCGATGCCGTTCCGAAGGTACCAGTGACGACTGCCGCAGTGTTGCACGAAGACGACTCGTGGCGGCGGCGACGGAGACCTCAGAGCTCACAGCGGGTGAGTGACGGATGACTATTTATAATTAAAGGTTGGCCAGGAACACGGACTTCAGCAGCGCCGAGCTCGAAGAAACTAAACGTTTCAGAGTTCGGACGCCAGGGCGAAAACCACGGAGAGTATCAGGACATCGGCGCGTTGCGATGCTGTCCGCGGATTCTCTCCCTTTTTCGCTCTGCAGTGGTCTGATCCTGTCGGCCGATATTATTATAGTCTTCGCCGCTCGCTCCGAGCTTTGGTCACCGTCGTCGCCGGCACAACAGTCGTCTTCAGCGCCTGCGCAGTACCGTCGAGCGCACTACATCGCGCACTAGCCGCTCGTCACTAACTGTCGTCATCGCTCTCGCAGCCGTCGTGGCTTGGCTTCGCCCGCTGCCATGGTCGTCTTCGCGTCCAGAGCAAACGCGTCCGCGACTCTCGTCCGCCCCGCAGGACAGCCGCGAGAACTGTGTAGAGGTGACCAGTGGCCATCATTATCTGCATCACCACCCACTCGCCATCACGTACCCCCCGCACATCGCCTCGTCTTGTCCGATGCCTTTTTTTTCTTTAAAATTGTTTTATATTTTTTTTTTACAACTTAAGTTGTATTGTATCTCATTTTTTCGGCCTAATTATTATCAAAATTGTTTAAAAATTTTTCATCAAATTATATGATGTAATAAAATTATTCTGTTAACACAGTAAAATGTTGTTTATTGTTTTTAGCATTAAAGAGTACGATTTTATTTATATCAACATAATAATTGCCCACTGAACATGATCATGTTCACGTGCAGGGAGTGTGTGGCCCACTGGGGCACCATATAGAACATTAACATACATTAAGATACATTGTCATCTTTAGCAATAATGAAAGTGGAAAACGAATACATTAACGTAATCCATGATCCTTTTTATGTGCATTATCATTGTGCAGAACAAATTCATATATACAGAGGATACTGTAATAGTACTAAAATACCAAAGTTAGTCATTGATGCAACTAGTTCGGTCGTGAAAAAATTTCATAAATTTGGTGAAAAAAAAACTCATTATACTTATATGAAGACCTGGTGTATGATAGCACAAAAAACGTAAATTTTACTGTAACAAACATGGGGAGTGAAAAACATAACAATTTATCTATTTCAAATTGGCTATTAAATTGGATAAGTTCAGACGTAAAAAAACCGAAGGAAACGGTTTGTGATAACTCTTTGGCCCTACTTTCCGCTGTTGTTCAAAGTTTCACTCAATACTCTTCACTTCTAGTATATATACGAGTTTGTTCAGACCTGTTAACTAAAGAACTAAATTCAAATTCACATTTGGTTCCGTGGTGTTTTGTGAGAATTAATATGGCACATTTTTTAAAAATTTGCACAAAATGGACTCCATTAAAAACTGTACCTCGGAGAGTAAGAGAGATTATTTTACGAGTGATTGGACTTTTAATAAAATGTAAATCTTTGATAGAAGCCCAATCATTACTACATAGCTTGTTTGTTGTATTAATTAATGAAACAAGCGGAATTCACAAAAATGGACAGGAGACTCCATGCGAAATAAATTTTAAAATACTTGTTGACGCCATTTCTACGGGTCTTGTACTGTTTGAACAGCAATTTAACGATATATTAGCAGCTGCAGAGTCAGATGATGAAGCTAGGAACTTTTTAGAAGAAGAATATGAAGGATTAAATGAGTATGATAACCCATTTCAATCGTGTGCTGAAAATATAATATACAACAGAAGTGAGAGTTCGATACAAGAAGGTTCGGCGTTAAATCCTTTGTACTTACCAACATTGGCCCCTTATATTATTAAAAGTATGAAACTATTACCCTTATGGTCGGGCATCATGATTTCGATATTCGGTTATGGTGATGATATATCGATTTCAGCAGCAGTTGAATCAAGCTGATCTTGAAAATTTTTTGGAAAATCACATTAAATCGCTAAAAGGAGCTGCTTTATTACGGTCGTCTTGCAACAATATAGCTATTTCTTCATTGCCTGAATCATGTGAAGCGATTGATGATAGCCATAGTTTTACTTCGTCAACAATTATTTCAAATAATTTTAATGAAAATGATAATTATGTGTACATTGAAAATCGTACGAAATCTCCTCCTTATGATGCCGAATACAATCGTTGCAGTTTATTAAAATACCACCTGTTAATTTTACGACTGAGGAAAGTAGAGCAGTTGAAAGCTGGAACCGAAAAAGCAAAAAGCAAACAAAAAATAACTCTTATCTTAATCCAAACCCGCACTTACGGCATCTAAATATAAGTACTGCAAAAAATAAACAAACCTTACCAATTTTGAAAAATGGTTCAAGGTTTGCTGAATTAAAAAGCTGCAAATCAAGGGAAGGCAAATTAATTTTGAGCAATACTTGTGCTTTTGATGCTTCAACGGCTTTATTGATGGTTTGTTTCTTATTATTGATAAATATAAAATATAATATTAATTAGTCTATAAATTATACATTATAATATACTCTATTCTATACAAGGAATATAATACACAATATATAAAGATAATTTAATTTACAAAGGGTTAATTAAATAAAGTTTTTATTATATTGAAATTACAACTTCAAAAATGAAAGTTATTTGTGTAGATAATACAACATTTATTTTAAACTATTAAGTGAGAACAAATTAATATTTTTTTGAGAAAATACACTTTTTTTTAAATATATTATATAATATTATGTTTAATTATTGACGTCCTTTATTGGGAAGGTAATTAAATTAAATTAAAGTATATTACTAAAAATTATACATTCAAATATTGTATTATATCTAGGTGAAAATGATCAGTGTAGTAGTGAAGCAGCAAATATCTCTATGGTACGTTTATGTGATATTTCTCCTATAATCATATGTGACACAACCACATACGAACTTCGTGGCGTGATAGCATTTCGTCAGGGAAAATCGAAACTGAGACATTCAATCGGTCATTAATACTCATTATACATCATACGCGAAATGTGATACAAAAAACTGGGAGTTGTATGATGCCTGTGCCAATTAAGGACACAACGATAGTGCCATGTGAATTTTTATTATATACAATTTAAACCTAAGACTTTATAAAATAAACTATTTTACATACGTTTAACTTAAGTAAAGTACCTATTCATAACATTATTCAAATATTTTATTTCATTGAAAATAGTTTATTAAAGATACAAATTATTTGTAAAATAAAGATTGTGGTAATTTGAAATATTTATTCTGTATTATATTTTTAATTGCCATGCCTACCTATTTAATATAATCTTATATATATATAAAAATGGAGCCCAAAATGTATAACAATTCATCGATTGAGAACGGCTGGTCCGATTTGTCTCAAATTTTTTTTAAGATGTTCGTAATTGCCAGGTGAAGATGAAAGAAAATTTTTAAAAAGTCAACTGAATAATTAGAAAAACTGCAATAACTATTTATTGATGTCTGGGATTTGAACTCGATACCGTTGTCTTTATTTACTCTATGGTGTATTATATTATATTGGTTGCTATTGGTTAATCTGGTGACTGGCATGTTTGTTGATTTGTATTATTATTTTTTGTCAATATATCTTTTATATAAATGAATGATGGTGTGTAGATTAGACCTATGGGAAAAAGATACGCTAATTTAAAAAGGGTTAAATTTGGTTTTTTTTATTCATCGGATTTTAGTACGGTTAGGTTAGGTTAGGATTTATAGGTAGGAGGAATTAAGTAAAAACGTCAAGCTTGGTATAACTTTGGTTCTATTTGAGTTAAATCATACACTTACGTACAAACAGCACGGGGTCCGCGATCTACCACAGGTAGATTGCCTACCTGATAATATACTGCTGCGAAACAGAATTTTTGTTCCGGGCAACAGAAAAGTTAAGATAAATCTAGAACATCATACACCGAATATTAAATAACGCATGGAACAATGATTGAGTCATATAGAGTTGGTACATTTAACGTTAAACGAAGTGCACGGGATCAGCTAGTATAATTATAATACCTACTAGTTCAATATAAAATGTTAGAATTTGAGTGTAATGTACAATTTAAAATATGCATGCTAATCGTGTTCAATGTTAATGTAAATTAAATCAAATATAAGTATTGATTATGATATTAATATATTATGTGTAAAAAATACTTACCTCGAAGAATGATATTGGTGAAAACTAAAAATCACTCATTTAAAATTTAAAATGACAATGAATGTCTATGTCTAACACCAATTCGTAGTTAAATTATACAACAGTAGGTACATACTTTGTTCAAGTACTTTTTTCAAAAGTATTAAAAATACGTACTATTGGTTACTTAAAGAGTAGGTAGTTGAATACTTTTACAGTTAACTCAAGTACTTTACAAGATTCCTATGCGTCCATTTTACTTATGAGTTTTTGAAGAGACAATATTAGAAATAGTCCTATAACAAATACCGTATGTAGTAAAAAAAAAAAAAGGTGAAAAAGGTTTATTTCATATGCGAGGGGGGAAAGCTAAAGTAGGCAGGGTTAAAGTGTGAAAGTTTAAAATCGTAAGGTTTCGCGTTCTGCGGCAGTCGTGCAAATGCATGCTAATGGCGTGATAATGTTTGGTAAAAAAAAATTTGTAAAAAAGTGATTATTTCCTTTTTGTGGGGGGCTGGGGTAATGCGCGAAAGTGGAAAACTGGTTTTCCCGGGAAAATCGTAAAGTTTCGGGTTCAGCGACAATCGTGCAAATGCATGCTAATGGCGTGATAATGTTGGTAAAAAAAAATTGTAAAAAAGTGATTATTTCACTTGTAGGGGGCTGGGGTAACGTTACGCCAGCCCCCCCATAGTTTTTTATAAATAACTCGTAAAAAAATTTCGTGCAAATTCTAAAAATAGTCGTGCAAATGCATGCTAATGGCGTGCTAATTCAAGACTTAGTTTTTTTTGTAAAAAGTTCAATGAGGGGGGCCAGGGTAATGTACGTAAAAAAAATTAGGTTTTATGTAATGATCGGATTATCGGAAGCAATTCGACATTATTCCCTTGCGAAAAAGTATAAGTGTCGATTTTTCCGGATGTCGATTGTCGATAAATATTTCCTAAGTCACCGTCGAATCGCTTACGATCGTTGAGGAGTTATACCGTACTGCACCTAAGTCTTAAATAATAATAATAATACGATGTGTCTAAAAAACATAATAATAGATGTGCGGATGAAATTTAAATTTGAAATATGACGACGACGATGACGATACGTACCCATTATATTTACAATACGTACCTAAATAATAATAGTGGGAAATAAAAATTAATAAACAGTAATTACGACTAAAAGACAAAAAAAAAATATTTCAAGACCTATTACATCACTATATGTAATGCAAAATACTTATATTGCTTGTTATCTATAGTATAGACTCTATACTGTGCAGAATGCGGTAACACAATTAGAGAGGGGATATAATATTATAATGCACATTATTCAAGACATTCATGAATCGCTTGACTGTTATCTCTTTCTAAAAATTTTACAGGAAATGCAAATAAAAACATAGGCATTTCTTTCATAAAAATAATTAATTGTTTTTAAATAATAATACTGTAATACTGTAATATAGGTATATGGCTAACCCCAAGGCTGGGCATTAAAGAGTTAAAAAGTTACCTTTTGGCATTTCATTAACTTAACTGTTAACTTACTCTAAATTTCGTGAATTTAACTAACGTGAAATTATCGAATTAATTTTTCATTTTAAGAAGTAGGTTAAGTAAATTTATTTTGTTTTAAATTTCATTATATTTTAATATTTCAGTCTATTTCGTTTTCATGTTAAAAAATATTTATAGTGAATTGTTTAAAGTTACAAATTTATATTATTCAAGTTTAAAATATAACTTATATGGAAATACTGTATATAAGAGTATAAACACTATAGTCTATAATTTAGTTTTGGGTTGGAAAAAAATTAAGTACTCTAGCGTTGTACAAACAAATTAACTATTTTTAACTTAATAAAAAGTTAACAAAAAGAGTGTATTAACTTTTAACTTAACTGAGTTAAAAAAATCATTAACTTGCCCAGCCTTGGCTATATCCCATCGTAAAATGACAAAATGTACACGGATATGCACTGCTTTTTTCAAAGCAGAAATTGTGCTGAAAAGAGTTGGTTATAATAACAATATATTTTTCAAAAATTATGAAAATTTAAAACAGAATGTTAACCTATTAGTTTATATTATGTTTATTAAATTAATTATATGATTTAAAACAAATATAAACAATAATATAATTAGTAGAAAAATTAGTAATTAAAACAGTTGTTATACTTTATGGTTAAGTATATATTTATATAAAGCTAAAGTATTAAAATGCATCTTAACTTTTTAAAAGTTTTAGATTTTGAAATATTTAATTCAAAAGATTTACCAAGTTTTATGCTTACATTCATTGGGATAGGTACATTTTCCGAAAGTAGTAGAATTCAAAACAGATTTAATATTAGATTTTTCCTTACTCCTAGAATTATTATACTTATGATAAAACTTAATGTCTTCAAAGTTAATTAAGTACAATGAGTAAATATAATCATTGATTATAAATACTAGTATTTATAAACAATGATAGAATGGATTTTATAAAAATAGAATTTACATTATCAACAAAAAAATCAGAATAAAAGTAAACTAGCAGAGTTAAGTCTAGGTTTATTTAAAACTATTTTTGATAGATTATTTAATGATATGTTAATTATATGTTCAGAGGTGACGGATGCAATTTAAAAGCTGTGCCCTAAACAAAAATTTCATAGTTAATTAACAATTGGAAATTTGAGCTATTGCAATGTGCCAAAGTAAATAATTCTAATATTCTGAATTTATAAATAATTTCTTTCCATTTAAGATTATGATCAAAGATAATGCTCGAAACAGCTCGACTAAGCAGAGTAATTATATTATAACACTATATAACATATATTTTAAGAATAATTAAAAAGAAAAACGAGCAAGGTATTATCTTATGGATAACGTGGTTTAATTGTCATTATCATCAGCACAATTGTCCATGTTAATTACTCCTCTGGCTAATGGATAGTACCTATGGTTATTTTACTTCAGCACGAATAAAAGGGGAAAAACTCACAAATTATACGATTAGTCATCAAAAAACATCTTTGTTTGGTCGCATGTTTATCAAACAAATATATAATAGGACAATGCAATAAAGAGCGCAACGATAAAACTATTCTAAGTAGGTTACTAGACTACACCTTACATCACTATATTATTAGGTATTATGTAAGAAATATTGGTAAGTAAAGATGGCAGCAAAAACAAAATTTAAACTCGAGGAAGTTTAACTTTAGATTCTGATGGTAAAGGAACGTTGTACAATGTGTTTTGTCTGTATGTCGTCTTTTCTTTTGGAGCAGTAAAAATGGTTCGAACTTTGAGAGTGATTTCAAGGTACATTGTAGGGGGGTAAGGGGAGGTAAATGATAAAAAAATTCCTAGTACTTTTCAAAATAATTTGAAAAAAAAAACAGTTGAGAATAGGTACAGTACTACAGTTATTGCTATCTTATGTCTCGTCGAAAAGACGCTGACTTTCACTATTTTATTTCAGTGTCAATTTAACATTAGACGCACTTGATCTTCTCTCACAACATTAACTATTAATTTTCATATCTTTTCCTTTAACTCTAGAAATTAATTATCTTTTTCATTAACGTATCCACTTTACCTCTTGGGTGGTAATAAAAATAAAAAGTTTTAATTTTACATAAAATGCTTTGGTATAAGTATAGGTATATTCATAATTATGATTTTAATGTAGTTAAATAAATTATGTTGGTTCGAAGTACGTCAAATACCTAAGTACTATATGTTAGTAATATAATATCATAATATTATATATTTACTTATATTGACTACTAACTATATATTTACTTATGTTAAGTTGTATTATTAATTTTATAAATACTAATTATACGTCTATACAGTATTTATAATACACGGTATTATCTTTTACTTTTATTTATTTTTTTATTGTATACCTACATATTTATAGGTTATGCAATATTTAGATACTGGAATGATATGTACATATTGTACTCAACATTTATTTGTCTCTAAAATGGCCGTTTGGAGCTTATTAATAAAAATAAATTATTTTCTCGCCGATATGTATGGGTAAAAACAAATTTGCCGTTTTCATTTATCGTTTGCTTACACTCAATATTTTTTTCGGAATCCCATCGAGAAAATAGATTGGTTTGTAGGTAAAAATGCAAGTAAAATATATTTTTGACATGTAGCTTGGAGTTTTATAAGAAATGTCATAATAAAATATTATACGATGATTTAAATACTAGTAATTTAGTAAAATACCTACTTGTATCATGTCATTACTTAATTTAGTACCGGACGAGAAAGTCCCATGAGAAACAGATAAATTATAATCTCTGTCAAAATATTTTATTTGCACTGTACCACTGTTCTAATGTATTATGATTTTGTAGTTTACAATCGTCAACATCACATTTTCAGAACATTTCGCAACCGTCGTAAATGTTGGTATATATATCTGATATCGTATGACTCGCTATTGATGCATTCGAATCGGTTATTCATAATAGTAATGATGTAAATTAATTCATTTTTTCGCGAAGCGTAAACTTTTTTTTTTGTTTGATGAAATCATCAGAATAATATGAAACTCCGGCGAAATGTGCATATACGTTCGTTTATCTGGTATAGATGATGCAGTAGTTGACAGTAGTTGTTCTTGGAATTTTTTTTGCCCGCACCGTGACACTGTGTCTGTATAATATTTTCTACAACGCGTCAACACCACTTACTGACCAGTTACCATACTTACCTCGCCGAACCATCCGAATGTGTGAACAACACGACGTGACATTTCACAATGAGAATAATAATGCGTCTATAATGACAATAATTGTATAATATAATAACGATAATTATGTGCATATACGTTTGTGGAAAGGAAGGGCAAACGGTTCATCGACAATCCAATATATTACGTAATAATATTATACTTTCGGGGATTAATGATTAAAATCAACACAATGAAATTCACTCACACTGAAGTTTATTTTACTTTTCAAAAACAAACTTTTATAAATTAATAATAAATACAATATCATATACGATTTCTTTTTAAATTATTGCTTTTTTGCTTATTATTATTTTAATCGGAGTTCAAACACACAATAGAACTACGAGATAAATATTATAATAAATTAGTTTAAATATAGGTAATGATTAATATTGCTTTAGCACTGTCTATATTACTATACATAAGAAATTATAATTAAGGTATACATTCGCGTTTAGTCTATATAAATAAAATAATGTTGGCGACTGTTTAATAATGGTATATAATAATAATAATAATAATAATAATAATGGGACAAACTTTAACCAATATATATATAACGACTAGTATCACTTGCATAAAATAATAACCACGAAAAAAAAAAATGATAAAATATGCCAACTTACACACGTCATATTATAAATATATTATGTAGGTATATACATACAAAAATAATGAGATAAAAAAAATGTTTACAGTCTGGAAAAAAATCTATCTATAAGTAAATAATAATTGTTGGTTAAAAAATTATAAACTTTTATAATAAAATCATGATGGTTTCGGAACAAAGAGGAATGTACAGAGAGGAAGAAAAGGGATGTGCCTTACACGACTAAAAAACTATATCTAACCACGTCTGTTATCGATACGATATTAGGTATAATTATGGCGAAAAACGTCGAGGGCTCAGTACATACATTTTTTACACTATTATTATATTAGATTATTTCATTAAAATACACCTCTCGCTCGACTAGATATTTTCTTTAAAATTATTTTTATATTTTTTTTCATTATTTTTTTTTCCTTTTAACGCACAATTAATAATAATAGTGCAGCCCAAAATTGACGAATAATAATAATAATAATAAATATAATAATGAATAAAACAGTGCTTTTTATAATAATATAGTACATGGCATACACTCACACACTCACACACATATAAATGCATATGTATATCGATAAAATCTAATATTACTAATCCATAATTAAACATTTCTAGAAGTCTATAATTCAATAAATCATATACATTAATGTCAGCTATAGGATAACAACCCCGTTTATGTGTACCTACCTAGTAATAGTAATATTATTATATTGATGGTATATTATTTTATATTTTGTTTTACAGAAGTATTATAGTAATATGTATATATATATATGTTAGTGCAGTCACGCAGACTTGCAAATTTCAAAAACAACGAAACCGCTCGCGGTCCCGTCTCTGGTGTGTCAAAAAAAACATCGTTATAGGTTGTGTGTAACACTCTTATGACTAAGCAAACCAATAGTATATAATATGAGGTGTCTGTACAGGTTACGTTATTAATTCAGATTTAATTCTCCGGGACATAGACGGTCCTTCCTTGTACGCAGTCGTCCGTCGATAAAGGCTCTCGGGAAACCGACGAGCGCGCGTGTACGTTTGGTTGCGCGTCAATCCGGCGATCGACGTCGGAGCCGACTCGGTTGAAATTGCACAATGTACGGTGAGAGAGTACGGACGCGGGTCGAAAGATTTTTCTGCCGAATAATATTTTCGAACGTTGCGGGAATTCCCGAAAGAGACGAAGAGCTTATGCGGAACAAAAAAAAACCTTTAAATCCGCGAACTGTCGAGTGCGCGTTTACTCGCTCAGTGTTGAACGAGAAAACGCGAACTCGAGACGTTCGCGGGCGCGCGTACCGAAAGAGAAACACGCAAAACGAAGTAATCATAAAAAAAAGTAAAATTACCGGCACCGCGGTGGTAGTCGTCGTACTCGAATCATGATGGTAACAAAAAAAAAAAAATCAATATTATAAATTTTTACATCGTTGACACCGACGACCTCAGCAGCGGTCAACAAGGTCGTTTGCCCTTGAGGGAGGGGGGAGATAAAATTTGTCGTAGGCGTCAAAAACGACTTTGGAGACCGAGTCGGTATCGAAAAAAAGAAATGCCAACGCAGTTTCTTATTTTTCGATACCGACTCCGTCTCGTCAATTACACCACCGACGATACTAACAACTATAATATTATACTACTAAACTTACCTACGATACTACAAAATTACGCTAACGATACACAACGGATCCGTAACCGTTTCAGTGATAAACAGTTTTAAATACAATTTACTTTCTTAGAATTCAATTAATAATAATAATGATATTATTGTAGATGCTCGGCGGCCAATCTCTACAATAATATCGACTAAAATTTAATAAGGCAACAACGGTCAGCCAATAACACGATTGGAGTATAATGTAATATACGGCAAAACGCGTATTTTCTTATAATATAATTTAAAATAACATAATAATAATAATATATACTTAACACTATAATATTATAAGAGTCGTCTACCGACGACACGCTCTCTCTCTCTCTCTCTATGTATAGGTACAATAATAATAATAATATGTGTGTAAAATTATTGACAAAATTATCGTACAAGTGGGTCGAACCCGGTCACGGCCTGTGCGCGGGTGTCGGTCTCTAGTCGCTGCTGCTTTTGATTCCCAACATTTTGGCAGCGTCTTCGGGCGACTTCGTCTGCAACACCTGGTCGATGACAGTGCTGTCTCGGATGCCGAGCAGCGTGCCGATCAGGCCCGTGTCCGTCCGGTTGCCACAACAGTCCTCGTAACCGGTGACCGGTCCCGTCGGCGGAGGGGTGCTCGGAGGACTGGCCGACCTCCGTTCGTGGTCGCTACCGCCTCCAGCGCCGCCGCCGCCCCCGTACTGCTGGTCTTGACAGCCGCCGTGCTTTTTGGCTATGTGCCGGACCATGCTGTGCTTGAGCGTGAACCGACGCTTGCACGACAGGCACGCGAACGGCTGTTCCTTGGTGTGGGTGCGCATGTGACGGCGCAGGTCCTCGGCCGAGTAGAAACGGTGCAGGCAAAACGCGCACAGGACCTGAGAAACGAAAAATGGTTTGTAGGCCCAGTTACAGCAAATGCATGTATATAATATTATGGTTGTATTGAGGATAGAAATTATATTGATTTCAAAGTCTGAAGCGGGATTATGTTCTAAATAATGCTTCATCGAAAAATAGTTTTCATGATTAATTCATCATTTGAAGTCTAGTCGAGTGCAGTAGTAAACACACACAATTGTCGATGTAACTACTAATGTCGTAAAAATAAAGTGTAATTTTAATTCAAAAACACAAAAATTGATATCAAAAACATTATAAGATCAGTCTGTATATATATATATATATGTATAATATATATATATATATATATATTATTACTAATTAGGACTCGGATTTAGTGCAGAAATTGAATTTTTTTCTATTCAAGATAATAATGATAATTTATTTACATTTATTTAAGCATTATGCTTAATGGGGAGTTGCAAACATGTTATAACTATTATTATTTATTTATATACCATTGTATAATTTGTATGTAATTATTTGTTTTGAAAAATAAATTATACATTATTATTATGTATGGATAGTATATAATGTAATATGCGATATAAATACATACATCATTTCGCGGAATTCCGATTCTAAATAAACAGATATCAATTTCATTTTTTTTTGTATTGAGTACATTTTTTAATTATTTTAATAACTTCAGTTTTTTAGAATCGTAAAAAAATAAATAAATACAATAATTGGATTATTACGAAACAGAAAAAAAATGGTCAATAATAACGATGGAAACGACTGAGCTAGAATTATAAGTCCGGATAAAAACAAACATGCATGTTGGTTTCGATTCACAATTAATTTTAAATTGAAATCACTATAATATGCCTAAATATAAAATGATATAAAAATTAACATAATTCGGTAGTACGAAGTGCAACCAACCTTTCTGTTTTCCACATCGTCTTGTTTGACGGCAGACGAGTCATGGTCGTTGTCCATGGCCCCCTGCGATACCAGTATCTCGTAACACTCGGCGTGGTCGATCCGGATGTGATCCAGAGCGCCCTGCCTGTCAAGGTAGCTGCTATCGCACAGATGACACTTGAAACAAGGTTCAGATCCGGTGACCGTGTTGGACGGGGTGATGGTGGAGGCGGCGGCGGCTGCTGACTGCGTGGTGGTGTTGGCCGTGGTGGTTACCGGGGCCGCATTGTTGCCGCACCATCCGTTGAACATGGCCATCGAGAAGTCACGTTCCGACTCGCCACCGTCGTCCTCGGTACCGTCACCGGCTCGTTCGTCATCCTCTCCCGCGGCGGCGCCACCGCCGCTTTTGTCGAAGTGCACCCGATTTATGTGGCTGATCAGGTTTTTGCGCTTGGAAAACGTCACGTTCGGGCACGACGTGCACTTATACGCGTTCTTAGCGTCAGTCGGCGCCGCGGCGGTCGTCTCGTTGTCGGACGACGCGGCTGACTTGCTGGGTGGCGTGCAGTGCAGGCGCAGGATGTGTCGGTCGCGATTTGACTTGGTCGAGAACGACAGCGGACAGTGTTTGCACTGGTACGGCTTTTCACCCGTGTGCGTGCGGATATGCCGTTTCAGTGATGAAGTCCACGGGAACGACAGGTAACAAAACGGGCACAGCACTCTGTTGGGCGCGGCCGCGTACGCACTGACCTTCTTCCGCTTTTCCCGGTTTTCGTCCTTGTCCGTGTTAAAATTGATATCGATGTTGTTGTTGACGGCATTGATACTGTAGGGAAAAAATCAGAAAACAAATTGTTAATATTATTTGAACCCGTCACTACACACGTCATAATATTATAATTATTATAATAATATGTACGCATCGGAGGTCTCTTCACGTTTTTTCTACACAATTGACTATTAACTTACCTAGAACCGTCGTTTTCGGAATAGCTGGCAGCCTCGCTGTGCTCTTCTTCACTGCTCGTTACCTCGTTGTGGTCCTCGTCAGATCTGGTGAACTGCGGAAATGTCTGATGTGAAGCGTTGTCCAGCAATCTGGACACACTGACCAGATCGGCGGACTCCTCTTTGACTTCGGTGCAGTTTTCCTTGACTCCGGCGGACTTGTGCTCTACGCCATCTTCTACTATGACGAGTTTGTCCTCTTCCTCCACTACGTCGTCATCTTCTTCATCCTCATCCACTTCGTCTTCGGTCCTCAGCAGCTGTTCTGACGGCCGGCATTTCAGCGATAACGCCATTTTCACTTGATCCGATATCGGCGACGTGTCCTGCTGTTCTTGTTTGACGGTCGAGAACTGCGGTTCTGACTTGGACGACAACGACCGGGGTTTCTTGTGCCAATCGGTCGGGTGTTGGTTTTTGACGTGCCGGTCGCGGTTTGACTTCAACGTGAACGCCCGTTTGCACGTCTCGCAGACATGTGGCCTGTCCGTCCTAAACCTTCTCTGTTTAGGCACTAGAATACCGTTTTTCATCACCAACCGCAACCCATTGCTGTCCTTTGGTTTTTGCGCAACGTCCACGGACTGTGGTGCCGGTGGCGGAGGCGGCACGGCTGCGGGCTCGGGTGTCTCTGGCTTTGGTGGAACGACGGGGTCTGCCAGCTCTTGAGCTGGGACGACCACTGGTTCGTTCATCTGCCGCATTGCACGGATCATGTCGACGGTGAGTGGTATTGGTAGCATGCGTTCCGCGGCCGGGTACATTCCGTTAAAGAACATGCGGTGCTCGTTAAGGAAATATGCATGCAAAGGCGTGGGTAACGACAGGTCCATGAAGCTGGGCGGGGCGTGTGGCACAAATTGCTCACGGAACGCCATTGTCGCGGTCGGTTTAACGTCCTCCTCGTCAGTGTGATCACCGGCGGCGACGGCAGTGGCGGACGACGAAGACGACGACCTCTTGCCGTTGATGGACAAATCTTGCGGCTCGCAGTCCAAGTCCTGTTTGAAACGCTTCATACTCAGGTCCAGCGGCTCGTCGTACTCATCCTCGTCGTCCTCCGAGCTCTTTTGCCCGGACGATTCATACTGGGAATAGTCCGTCGTCGTTTGGTTGTGATGCTGCAAACGCAGGTGATGGTACAGTTCTTCGCTCTTGTCGGCGGTTGCCTCGTCGTTGGTCGACTGTGCTGACCCAGCCGGTTTATCCTCGTTCTTGAAAAGTATCGACGCCTTTACCTCGGCGTTTGATGCCTTGTGTATGGTGCGCAGGTGCCGTTCGCAGTTGGCCTTTGTGGTGAACGCGTACGAACACTTTTTACACACGTACGGCGTCTCGCCCGTGTGGCCTTTCATGTGGTGGTTAAGCGACGCCTTTTCAGTGCTGGCAAACTCACATATATTGCACGCGTACATGCCGTTGGTGGACTTGTTGTGGCTGGACGAGTTGTGGCCCTTGAGCGCCCGCAGGTTGCCGAATACGGTCGAGCACAGCCTGCACGCGTACGTGCGCTTGGCCTTCATGTGACCGTTGCTGCTCCTCTTGTTGGCCGACGAGTGCAACATAAAACCGCCACCGGCCACGGACAGAGGAATTTCGTCCTTGGGCGAGCCTCCAAAATATGAATCCTTGTCCGACGGATATCCATCGCTAAAGTCCGTGCTGCACGTCGAGTCACCGTTGTACGAAGATTTGACGGGTGTGACGTGAGAGAGTTCCGGGCTGTTGTTGAACGACGTCGTTTTCGCCGGGGACTTTGCGGCGAATGCCGAGCTGTTGTTGTTGTTGTTGTTGTTATTACTGCTGTTATTGTTGTTGTTATTTATGCTATTGTTGTTATTGAATTCGCGGTAAAACGTTTTGGCGGTCAGGTTTTGTGGTTTTAAGTCCATGTGGACGGTCTGCAAGTGCAGACGCATACTGTAAGTGGTCGAAAACATGGCGTTGCACACGGGACACCGGCTTTCCCTTTTCGTGTCCAACACGGAATTACAGAACAACCTTTGTCGCAGATTGTCTACGCGCAACATTTCCGATGACATTTCAGACCTGAAACAGATGCAAATAATTCGATATTATGACAATGGACGAGTCGTGGAATGATGATCGAAAATTTTTTTGTTTTTTTAAAGTCGAGACGAGAAGTCAATCACTGGCGGGCGGGGGGGCGGGCGGTGGCCAGCGGTTGTATAAATCGATTTGACGAGAGAATGAGATATATGTATGCATTAAATACGTGGATAAGAAGAGGAGGAAGAGAACGTCGACGCGGGCCGTTCGGGCGATACATTCGGTCAGCATGGCAACGAGCGTTTATATATAGTAACAAAAGTTCAACCGCCCTGGTGATGTACACACAAACACACAAACAACACCACGGCGTACCTATTCGCTGGTGTATGTACGTGTGTGCGCGAGCGGGAGAAGAAAGGTCGACCCGTTAGAGTTCATTCTTCGTCATATATTAAAAAAATGCATGATACGCGTGGCGTGTGTGAGCGACGGCAAGGTGCGATTATTATTATAATATTGTATACAAAATTACGCACACACATACACATGCAATATGTATATTACCTATATATGATCTATATACATACACACAAAAGAGAAGGCATACGAAATAACCGCCAGCAGGTGTTTGCATGTGGGCAAAACAAAAAACTGAAGCTAAAATATTCCGTTCTATTGCTATAATATTATACTATATTACTATATAGGTACAACTGGATAGGTATATTCTCGCCGATCGATAGTTGTGACAACATCGCGAGAGTTAAGTCCGTCGCTCACGCACCTCCCCGACGAGAGACACACACACGTTGAGCGAATAAACCGCGGCCGGCCGGTGCGGATATTACACATAATAATAATAATGTACACCGCGTGCTGCAGTTGTTATCGACCATATTGTAATATATAATAATATAATATAATATCATAACGATCGACACAATGACGATATGATTATGGACCCGGGAATATGCGATGTATATTAAAGTATCTATATGGGGGGGAAGGAATCGAAGCAAATAAAATATTATATAATATATTATATAGGTGCCAACACGTCGGGCGGGTGTGTGTTGACGTCGTTGGCCTTTGACACACCGGCAGGGGTCCGCCGTCGCGAGGGCTGCATCCTCCTCCCCCAGCACAAATCGAACAACAATAATCTTTTAATAACAATAATGCACTGGCGGCGCCTAAACCAGCGCACGAGCGCCCCGCCAATATAACAATATAATAATAATAATAATAATATAATAACACCACGCGTCGTCGGGGGATGCGACGGCCGCCGTGCCGCCACGAGTCCGGTTTGGAATTTCATATCTCCCCGAGGGACGGACGCTGCTGCCTGCTGTCCGATTGTGTTGTTGTCGTTACCTTCATTATATTATATTAAACGCTCTTTAATAAAAAGACACGCATATACATTTCAATTAATTTAATCAACCGGCAGCGGGGTTATAACCATATGCCCATCATATGGTTGATTACCGCCCACGAAAAACCGGCTTTGGTTACGTCAATTTAATGTTTTAATAAATTCGGGTACATATTCCTTTTAAGTAGATTGGAAAATATTTTTTTATGGGTAAATATAAACTGTCACGCGTATAACGTTTGGCGGATCCAAACACTGGTTTACTGCAATATTAAAAATGCATTTTTCGTACCTATAGTTCTGTTGGTGGGTACGTGCATTCGACAAAAAATTAATTATCTGTATATTTAAAGGGTTAATAATCGTAAATCAGAGTTTTGTTACTAACGCACGCTATTATTTTTTTTTAATGATAAACAACATAGGTTAGTATATGAGGTGTTGGAAAAATCTGTTTGGCCGATGACTGTCGGTCGGGGTGTATAGTGTATACTAGCTATATAATAATAATAATAATAATAATAATAATCACGAACCATAGCTTTTGATCCAATTATATAAAAGTATTATATATTATGCGGCCTGCTGCTGCGGAGGCAAATCGAATCGTGGTCGGTTTTTCATTTTATTTTATGACCCCCACAGGTAAGCCACGTAAAAAACGGGTGAGGGTGTGTGTACACACAAACATTATTGTTGTTACGTGTCCACGGCGCCCTTTTCGGCGGCGTCATCGTCGAGGGGGATGTAGTCACCCCCATAGATACGGCGTGTGTTTATGGAACACAACAATAATTTAACGACAGCTTCACATTTGTTATTGTTATTATTGAATAGCGGTGTGGCGGCCGAAAGCCGATCGGCGGCGCTAATAAGCCAACGTAATAATATTGACATATTGTTATCATCATCACGGGCGTTAAATCGCTAAAACACTTTTCATTTTACATAATATTGTATGCATACATGACGATCCACTTAACTATAGGTATACACGCAAATTTTCCATAGTTAATTTTTTTGTTTTAAATAACACTATTATCATTGGCGTATATAGTGTTTGAAATTTGGGGGGGCTGAAGCTCAGGTCTATACTTGAAACTCTTATGATGCTTTTAAATTATAGTAGTGAAATCATTAGTTTTTGGGGGGCTATAGAAACTTCAAGGGGGGCTAAAGCCCCCTAGCCCCCCTCCTATTTGCGCCTATGACTATTATACTACATCTTTACAAGAAAATATTATTTTTGAACCATTTTTCGTCAGTGTGGTTTTAAAAATTTTATAATACAACTACGTATTGTGTTATCTTTTAATAACGAATAACAATAACAATTTTGTTGAATAATTATATCGGAAGCAGCTTACTGAAACTCTGGATTTTAAATAGAAATTAGAATATCAGGTGATGAATACAAAGTTTGTGGTTAGAAAAGAAAACATTTTTGGTTTAGATTAGCGAATAACTTTTAAGTACTGTTTTAGTACAAATACCCCAAACATTATGGATAAGAAAATTGGTGTTGCATGTTTTTCGTGGGATCGTGCACAGCCGCACATGCACATTACACATATACACGTATATTATAATTGTGTATTCGACGTTCCTCTAGGTCTTCCGGGCACAATGTTTTAGCGTAAAATTATAATATTTTCAAAGATGAACGAGTAATTATTATTATCGCGTTCCGCGCTAAGTCGCGTCCGTACAATAATATCGTAACACACACATACGCGTAAGTATATAATATATATATATATATATATATATATATTTAAGAGGAAGGAAAACAACAAAATACATGCTCGTATAATAATAATAATCTCACAGAACCTCGTGTGTGTGTGTGTGTGTGTGTGTGGTTACAGGACCGGTGAACCGTACAAGGCAAGCACGCATGTAGACGACGTCGTTCGTATGTATAAAATAATATAATATTATTGTGTTTGTAGTCGCGAGCTGGCCTGGGCACGATAATTGCGTATGCGCGCGGCCGGGATTTTTCCCAAGGTATACTACTCCTACATTATATTATAGTCTCCTCTGTGTGTGTGTGTGTGTGTGTGTGTATGATCAAAGATGGCGACGGATGCTGGTCATTGATGGGAAACAAAACGCACACACACACACACACGTGCGATGTATAATAAAGGTCTTTTGTACACACACACGCACACTCGCGTACTTACGAGCAGTCATGGAGGACATGGTAATAATAATTATAAGCCGCCCGCCCTCTAGCGAGAGCAGTAATACGTAAAAGCGAGCGCGGTGGGGCGAAGAAGACCAGTCGTTTTTCTCAAGATCGTCCGGTGGCGATTACGTCTTGCCCACCCCCTCCCCAGCCCCTCGTCACAAAAAAACAACCTGTGCGTGTTCTTCTCACCCGCGGACCATCATCTAAACTATATAGGTGCACATTATTACTATTACTATTATTATTATTATGTTTACGGACTCGAGCGCGGTCGACCTGTCCCAAAACGTCCGGTTGTAATTCCAATTGACGAGATTGGTTTATATGTAAATAATATAATATAAATCGTTTAGTACATCATCGGTCAATAAGCACAAAATATTATGTAGGTACCAGATGAATTTCCAATATCATTATTTGCATCGTTGTGTAGAACCTATCGAAAAATGCTAGACCAATCTAAGTGGTCATATCGCATTAAATGATTATGATGCACCTATATCTATATTCCTTTTTTTTTTTTAATTTAAATATAAAGACTTCATTATCTAGGGTTATTAGCCTACTTTTAGTATACATATATAGGTAAGTACCTTTATTGTTAGTTGCATTATATATAAGATCATATTAAAGGATCATGAAAATATATTTTATTTCCGTTTTTCCTACCCTTCGTTTAGGAAAATTTGTTTTTTTGGCTGCTCTGCAACACTCTGAGATCAATCATTAGTGGACAATTTGATATTACGTAATATATAATAAATGACCTTTTCACAAAACATTTTTGAAAAATTAAACACCCATAAGATGATCGAACAAATTGTGCCCTCCACCACACCAATCTCACGATGCGGCGAATTCATCAATCGATAATCGTGCATCGTTCGAGTATACATAGATATCGGTTAGGTTACATTTTATGTATATAAATTATGATTTATGATTTTTGCTCGCGGTTTGTCTTTCTTTCTCTAACAGCCAACACGTGTTAAATTCTAAAATAATATTAAATTCTAATTGTATTATTATACACTATATTAGTATATTATCATGTATTATACACATATAATATATAATATCAATATTGGGTTAGTTAGAATTTGTCGTGGCAAAATTTAAATTTTGTTGAAGTCAGTTATAGTTGTTTTCTCACCGTCTTGGAACCGTCCTCGGTTGGGCGCGTCAGAAAAGTAATATTTTTGCGTTTTCAATGTCGATCCAAGAACTCAAGAACTGCAAACAGCGTATAATATACTTCGTGTATTATAATAATTTTGTCAATATTTTGGAAAGACAAATCGTTTGTTTGCGTTTCGACAATCGTCACGCACTATACGTATATAATATAATATACAATATATACACACGAATAACCGATATCGTATTGTACATGTAATAATAAAAATAATAGTAATAATAATATTATATGCAGCACAGTCAAACAAACGAGCGTG